AGCAACCTCCAACTCCTAGGCTCAAGCGAGTCTCCTGCCTCTGCCTCCCAAGTAGCAGGGACCACAGGCGCCCGCCACAACGCCGGGCTATTTTTTGGTTGCAGCAGTCATTGTTGTTTGGTGGCCCAGGCTGGATTCGAACCCGCCACCTTGGGTGTATGTGGCTGGCGCCTTAGCCACTTGAGCCACAGGTGCCGAGCCGAATCAGTGACTCTTTATGAAAAGTTTATAGGGAAATGGCCCAAAGAAATGACCATTTTACAAATGGATAACTCATTTTAGGAAGGGAAGAGACAATGTTGAAGATGAAGCCTCATAACCATCCACATTAATTTGTGAGAAAAAAATTGATCTTATTTGCACCCTAATTTAAGAAGACTGATGGTTAACAGCAGAAACAATAGCCAACACCATAGACATCTCACTGGTTTAGCTTATACAATTCTGACAGAAAAACTAAAGTTGAGCTAACTTTCTACTCAGTGGGTGCCAAAACTGTTGTGCCCACATCAGCTCCAGATGAAAGCAGAGCTTTAATGGAAATTTTAAACAAGTATGATCAAAAGCCTGCATCATTTATTTGAAGAATTGTAACAGGAGACAAAACATGGGTTTATTGAAGATAAGGCACAATCAAAGTAATGGCTACCGAGAGGTGGAAGTGGTCCATTTAAGGCAAAAGAGGACTGTTCTACAAAGGGCTAATCATCAGCATCTATGAAAACTGGGCAAGAGGGCAGCGCCTGTGGCTCAAAGGAGTAGGGCACCAGCCCCATAGACTGGAGGTGGTGGGTTCAAACCTGGCCCCAGCCAAAAACTGCAAAAAAAAAAAAAAAAAACCTGGGCAAGATGGTTCAGCGCCTGTAGGTCAGCAGCTAGGGTGCTCAGCCATATACACCAGAGCTGGCAAGTTTGAACCCACCTGCCAAACAATGACAACTATAACAACAACAATAAAAAGAGCTGGGAGTTGTGACAGGTGCCTGTAGTCCTAGCTACTTGGGAGACTGTGGCAAGATAATTGCTTAAGCCCAAGAGTTAGAGGTTGCTGTGACGCCACAGTACTCTACCAAGGGTAAGATAATGAGACTCTATCTCAAAAACTAACAAACAAACAAACAAAAAAACTGGGCAAGAGACGTGAATAGAAACTTTTCTCATGAGGACAGAAGAATGACCAATAAACACATGAAAAAATGCTCATCATCCCTAATTATCAGAGAAGTTCAAACCAAAACTACTCTGATCCATCACGAAACTGGAGGTGAAAAGAAAAAGAAACAATTTTGAGATTATCACCTAATCCCAGGGAGAACGGCCCACATCACAAGGTCCCAAATCAACAGTAGCTAGTATGGATGTGGGGAGAAGGGAACACTCATGCATTGTTGGTGGGATTCAAACTAGTACAGCTTCTGTGGAAAGAAGTATGGAGGATCCTCCAAGGGCTAAAAGTAGACCTACCATCTGTTCCTGCAATCCCACTAATAGGCATTTATTCCCACACACACACGAAAAGACATTTTACCACAGGGACACTTGCACTAGAATGCTCATAGCAGCTTAGTTCACAATTGCAAAGGTGTCAAAACAACCCAAGTGTCCATCAACATGTGAATGGATTAACAAACTGTCATATGTGTATACCATGGAATACTACTCAGCCCTAAAAAGATGGAAATTTTGCATCCCTTGTAACTACCTGGATGGATTTGGAGAACATGCTCCTAAGTCAAGTATTGCAAGATTGGAAAGACAAGTGTCACATGTACTCAATATAATTTGAAACTAGGAGATTAACAATCAAAGACCCACATGACAGAAAATCTCAATTAAACTCAAGAAGAGGGGAGGATGCAATGGGGTTGAATAGCTTCCCACCCAGTAGGTACAATGTATGGATATATGGCATACTTTCTGGGTGCAGGACACAACTACAACTCTTATTTTTGTCTGTCATGTCTAAATATATAACTTAATGGTTTGGAGTCTCATATTAATCTGAAATAAAAAGAGAATGGAGGAAAAAGGGGGAAATGGTCTAAAGCAAAGGTCATGGCAACACATTTTTAGGATGCTCAAGACATTTTGCTTGCTGACTTTCTGGGGGGGGGCTAAAAAATGATAACCTCTGCTTATTATAAGGGTATTTTGAGAAAATTAGCCAAAAGTTTAGAAGAAAAATGCCCAGGAGATCTTCACCAGTCCACCATGACAATGTTCTTGCTCATTCGTCTCATCAAACAGGGGCAATGTTGCAAGAGTTTCAATAGGAAGTCATCAGGCATCCACCTCACATTCCTGATTTGACTCCTTCTGACTTCTTTTTGTTCCCTAATCTCACAAAAACCGTAAAGGGTACTCATTGTCCTTCAGCTAACAAAGTAAAATAAACTGCATTGACGTGGTTACATTCCCAGGACTCTTAAGTTCTTTGGGGATGGGCAAAATGGTTGGTATTACTGCTGACAAAAGTGTATGACCTTAGTGGAGCCTTTGTTGAGAAATACAGTTTATATTTTTTATCTTTAAATTCCTTTGTCTGTACTTTTTGAAGTGTCTTTATAATGTTAATAATATAATGTAAGAGGCGAGGAGACAAGTGCAACGTGACACCTAAAACACATGATCGTGTTTTAGGATGAGCACGTGACTGTGCAAGAACACCTAAAACAGCCTAGAGTTTACAGAAAGCTTCCTGGAGGAGGTAACTCTTTGAGTTGCCCTCTGGTGTCAGATGGACCTATTTTGAATCGCAATTCTTTCACTTATCTGCTTTGTGACCCAGGGTAGATTACTTTGCTTATTGGGGTCTCATTTTCCTCCAGTGTAAAATAGGGCTAGGCCTGCTGCGGTGGCTCATGCCTGTAATCCTAGCACTCTGGGAGGCCAAGGGGGATGGATTGGCTGAGCTCATAGGTTCGAGACCAGGCTGAGCAAGTGCAACACCCCATCACTAAAAAATGCCGGGCGTTGTGGCAGGCACCTATATTCCCAGCTACTCAGGAGGCTGAGGCAAGAGGATTGCTTGAGCCCAGGAATTTGAGGTTGCTGCGAGTTATGACGCCATGGTACTCTACCATGGTGACAAAGTAAGACTCTGTCTCAAATGATGATAATAATAATAATAATAATAATAATAATAGTGCTGTTCGGCTCGGCGCCTGTGGCTCGGGCGGCTAGGGCGCAAGCCACATACACCTAAGGTGGCGGGTTCGAATCCCCAGTCCGGGCCCGCCAAGCAACAATGATGGCTGCAACCAAAGAATGGCCACGCGTTGTAGCAGGCACCTGTGGTCCCAGATACTTGGGAGGCGGAGGCAGGAGACTCACTTGAGCCCAGGAATTGGAGGTTGCTGTGAGCGTGATGCCATGGCACTCTACCCAGGGGGATAGCTTGAGGCTCCGTCTCAAAAAAAAAAAATAGTGCTGTTCTCCCTCTGTTTTGGTGGGCTGGTTGAAGATGAAATCCACTGAGAAAGGGGGAGCTGTGTGCCAGCCAAGAAGTAGATCTGTGGGGTGGCACCTGTGGCTCAGTGAGTAGAGTACTGGTCCCATATATTAAGGGTGGCGGGTTTGAACCCAGCCTCGGCCAAAACTGCAACAAAAAAATATCCAGGTATTGTGGTGGGTGCCTGTAGTCCCAGCTACTTGGGAGGCTGAGGCAAGAGAATCGCCTAAGCCCAAGAACTGGAGGTTGCTGTGAGCTGTGATGCCAGAGCACTCTACCGAGGGTGACAAAGTAAGACTCTGTCTCTTTTTTTTGGTTGCAGCCATCATTGTTGTTTGGCGGGCCCGGGCTGGGGATTCGAACCTGCCACCTTAGGTGTATGTGGCTGGCGCCTTAGCCACTT